ATTTAATATTAAACAATAACTATTAAATTTTATATAATTAAACAATTATATTTATTGAATTTATTATTTATTATCTACTATCTGTTATTTACTTTACTTTCTGTTATCTATTTGTTATTCATTAACGATCACTCACTACTTACTACTATAATTTACTATCCACTATCCGTTACACGCTACTCGCTATTTACTAAATTTCAACCTCTATACTAACCATTGCTAATGTCAATTAGTAAAATTGAAACAAATGAATTAAGCCAATTAATTAAAATAAAATAACTCAACTTAATTGTTTAATTAAAAAAGTAATTTCATTTAACTTAATCAAATATTGGAGTATAATTAAAAAATGAGATTTAAAATTTTTAACAGATTATATATTAAAAATATAATTTATTTCGAAATTTTTTTAAATATTTTTCATAAAATAATATAAAAATAATTTGTTAAAAATATTTAAATAAATTCATAACAAATTGTATTCATAATTTATAATTTATTCTGTAAAATATTTTTTTAAAAAATGAAGTTATTCGTCAACCCATTCGTCGTCCCTGCAAATGGGTCAAGTTCCTCAACCTTTCTTTCTTTCCACCCAAACAAAACCCAGCAGTTTCCATTGTTGCTTTTTTCTTGTTCCTTATAAAATCAACTGCAGCGGTGTCCATGGCTGCTTTTTATTCTTCCTTAAAAAACTCCTCAACTCAAATCCAGCACCTCCAAGAACAGATGGCAAGCACCGTACAAAAAATTTAAAAAACGATGGAAGATTTGGAGGAAATAGGAGATCTACACGAGGCATTTGAAGATTCGAAGATGGATTTCGAAGAACCCATCTAGATTTTGATTTTGAGAACCCAGTGAGAACTTAGATCTGGGTTCTCATCAAATACCCCCATGGGTTCCCCCCTTCATCTCAAAGAAAATAAAGATCAGACTTGTGGGTTTTCCATAATATTTCATTGAAAATACATCATAATCCTTCAAAAGGAGAAAACTTTTTGTTTGAATTTGAAACTGGCATGTTTGGAAATTTTGAATGTGTCATTGGCCATATCGTAATCATGTTGAAAGCTTTTACCAAGGAAATGGCACTAATTTGTGAGCAGAGTTGGCGTAGGGTCCAGACATAGGGTAATCACCTAGATATGTAGATCTTTTTTCTTCTAAAAAAAGAAAAAAAAAAAAACTAAAATTGAAATGTAGATCTGGTTTAGCAAAAGAAAATTTAGAAAGTGGCATGAGTTTATAAATTTAAAGCAATGTAAAGGATAATTTAGGAATGTGATAAGTACAAATCACTTAATGGGGGCCACAAAAGCGTCCAGCGTGTTGGCCAGCTAAGCTTGGAGTTAAAGATTGCTTAAGGAGGATGACGTCAAACATTAAATTATTATTATTCGATTTTTTTAAGGGTAAATTTGTCCTACTGCATAATTTTGAGTGTGGATTTGGAAATTAAGATTTGAGGAGTGCTAGGGGCACTTGCCTCCTGCACTCTCCGGCCAACACTTTCACTTTTATTGGGCCACGTTATTCTGGTTCGTAAGAGGTTGCTCGCAAAGCTCGAAACAAGCTTATGTGGTCCAATGAAAAGGGGAGTCTTGGCCGGAGAGTGCAAAAGGCGAGTGCCCCTAGCACTGCTCTTAAGATTTTGCCAAAATCATAGAAGTAGGATGATTTTAAGTGCAATGGCGCTTATATATATAATGTTTCAGTTTAAAATTAATTTTCTTATTTTAAGTCTATTCATGAATCATTATGTATCCATGCAACTAATAATATTAAAAAAATATTATTAATAATGAAGAATAACACTATTATAAGGTAGAAGAGTTCGTAAATATTGATCTTGATAATAGAAAATATTTCTTAGTGTGGTTGTAGCTTCTAATTTTTCATTTTAATTTTTACTATAAATTTTACCACTTATAAAAAGGGTAATTAATCAACCATAACCATCATTCAATACGATACATTTGCCTTTAGTCTCTTTTTTTGAAATTTTTATGTCCCCAACTTTTCTAAAAAGGATAATAGTAAATGGGTTGAAAATTTTGGGTTTAAAATTTGGGATCAATGACATGTATAAATTACATTATTTAAAATATTAAAAAGTAAATTATATATTATTTAATAATTAATTTCTTTCAATTTGTTTGAACTTATGATATTATATATATAATCATTTAATAACATAACTTATGTTATATTATTGGTCATAAATTTTCATCTTTTGTATCACTACTTTTCTAAAAAAGAATGCTTAAAACATTAGTTTGGAATAATATTACCATTAATACATATATATAGGATCCATTAAATTAAAAAAGCTTTTTTTTTTTATAAAAATTTATGTAATATCTTTTAAAAGTTTAGTATCCTGCTTTTGTTAAGTCAATCCTCTTAGTCATATTTTCATAACAATTAGAAAAATAACCTGGGAGGAAGAAATTTTTAAAGATTAATTCTGAAGTGATCTTCAATGAAAAAAGAAACTAAAAAGTGACTAAAATGATGATATGAAACAATGTAATTAAGGATAAAAATGATAAAAATAAAACTTAAAGAACCAAATTAAAAATTTCACAATAGCTCTGGGGGCGTTTGCCGTAACATGGCGGAGGTAAAGCTGGCCAGTGGTACAAGATATTGATTTGGAATGATTATCAAGTTATTAGAACATTCTAAACGTTAATAAATCAGAAAAGTTTCTTTTACATTTTGACTTGCAAGAAAAAAAAAATACATAAATACCTATAAAATTATTTCACCGATATTCATGTACCTTTTTTTTTTTTTCTGATTGACTTAAAAATTTGTTTTCTCTTTCTAAATTAATAACAATATTAGAGTATTATTTTGGAAACCAACTTAATCCCCATCCCAAAAATTTCGTTAAACGGAGAACAACAATACAAATATTGTTAATGTACCATGCAAATTCAAAAGAATGAGACAACAGTTAATCATATATATATAAAAAAAAAAAAAAAAAAAGTGCACCTTGCTTTTGTGTATTGTCCTTTCTCCAAATGACGAAAAGAAATGCTGGGCTAGGCGAAAGGCTTCTTCACCAACTGCACGCTTCAGTATACTCTAGCTTCTTCCAAGATTTTCATTACATGTAAATAATAGAAACCGAAATTTGACAAATTAGTTATAGGGTAGAAGATTGATCTAATCTATTGGAGGAGAGGGAGAGTATTAATCCAATGAAAATTAAAAGCAATACATATATATATTAATGTTTATCAGTCAAATTTATAAAAAATTAGATAAAAAATATTTAAAAATTATATTATTTTAATAAAATATTACGAAAAAAATTAAAATATTTTTATTTCTATTTTAAAAATAATTAGAATGGTTTAGACTTAATTTGACAATGCTGGCAGTTTGTAACTACAGCGGTAGGTTTTTTTGGTTATTTAACATTTAAAAATATATAAAATATATTTAATTATTTAATATTTATTATAATTAATATTTTATATATTTTTAAAATAATAAAAAAATAAAAATAAAAAAATAAAATATCAAGAAGTGTTGTTAAATGAAACCTTAGTTTTTTTTAATAAAATTTTATTAAAACGATATAGTTTTGAAATATTTTTCTTCTTAATTTTTTGCAATATAGGCTAATACTCACTTTTTATATATATAGTAAAAATCCACTTACATGCAAATTTTAACACATTAAATTTATACAAAATCTCAATTATTCATCTTTTCATCTTTAATGGTTGAGATTTGTTAATTAGACGAAAAAGATATATCAAAAATCATTAAAAATCATTAAAGGTGGAAAGTTTTGAATGATTGAGATTGTGTAAATTTGATATATAAAATTTATATATAAGTGTTTATATATAAATGGATCCTTACTTTATACATATAGGATGCTGATATAACCTTCTAAGTCATCATACTTTACAATACATTTATTACAAATTATTATTATTTGGTCTAAAATTCAATGCAGAAACATTTAAAACTACAACCATGCATACAAGATAAAGAATCAACTGAATTTACTGTATCTATATTATATTTTAATTGTTGAACCAAGTGAATATCAATAGACATGTTAAATTAGAGGTTCTTAATCATTTTTCATATATATATATATATATAGGAAAATTATTTGTATACCCTCTTATTCAATACACCTAACAATACCTTCCAGTTAAGTCATTAAATTTTACTTTTGAAAATTTTTTCACTTTGAATTCAAATTTAAAAACATTAATTTTTTAGTAACTGAAACGAAAAAAAATTATTAAGTATGTTAAACTAAAAAGTATACTAATTATTGTCTATATATATATAAATGTGAAAGAAAATATACAAGGATCGCTGACAAATATATATATATATATATATATACAAGAATTGAAAAAAAAAAATTATACCTTTTGGCATCGAACTATTGTTTTTTTTATCAATTCGAGAGTTTTGAAGAAAGGTTGAGAATGCAAGTTGACGAAAAGAAAGGATGTGTGTCAGGCGAAAGGCTTCTTCACAGGCTGCACGCCCTTCAGTATCTTCCTGTCTTTTTCAAAGATTTCATTACATGTAAAATAGAAACCAAAACATAACAAATTAGTTAAAAGGTAGATCTAATTCATTGGAGGAGAGGAAGAGTATTTAATCCAAAGAAATTACATAAAAACATCATTATTATTTTTAATAAATATAAATAAATCTTAACAATTTAAAGTAGAGTGATAAATAGTTAAAATTTTGTATAAATATAATATGTAAATGAGCCCTAATAATATATATATGAGGTGAGATCCTTTTACACACAAAACTTCTTATAAGTTTTACACAAAACCTCTTATAAGTTTTACACAAAACCATAACCATTCATTTTATATTATGAATAATTGAGATTTATCAAAGATTTTTTAGGTAAAATAATAAATAACTTTTTTTAAAAAAATATATAAAGTAAATAAATTTCAACCATTCATAATGAAAAAATAAATAGTTGAGATTTTATGTAAATGATATGTATAAGAGTTATGAGTAAATGGATTCTTGATTATTCATCTCTTCATTGTTAATAGTTGAAATATAGTTATCTTTATTATCTAAAAAGTTGTAATAATCTCAACTATCAAAAATGAAAATATTAATAATTAAAATTTTGTGTAAGTGTAGTGTGTTTAATTTAAATATAAGTGAATCCATTTTTTATATAACATAAATTTTATATACTATACTTATAAAAAATTTTAATTATTTATCTCTTCACTTTTAATAATTGAAATTTATCATATTTTATAGATAAAAAGATA